GCTGGACTTTACTTTCACAGCTTTTTGCTTCATATGCAGCTTTCCTGGTTCTGGTTCTGAACCCTTCTTAACTATTTCACTCTTTGTGGGTCCTTTGAGCCGAGTTTTCACTTGTAATGATTTTTTTGGTGGTTTTCTCGACATTTTCTCAGATTCACTTGTTAGGCTTCCATACTTTGTACGTATGACCTCTGCTATCTGACTCCCACCCACACTTGGGGACTTAAGAGCACTGTATATACTTTCCCACGTAAGGGCTGGTGTTTTTTGCAAACGGAGAGAAATCACTTCAAGCATACATTCACTTTGTTCACTGCATTGTGCTTCAATTCTCTTTATGTCGCTATACTCTATCTCACCGAGCTGTATGCCAATAAGTTTATACTTATGAACAAGTGGATGAAGCTCATTTAATATGTCTTTCAAGTCTTTATCGCTCAAGGCCTGGTTGGACCAAGTATCGCAGCGCCTACTTCTAGCGGCCATTGGTGTTGAGCAGGCACGCCCCCTTTTTCGTACACCGCGCCGCGTGCAGGTATATACTGCCTGTATGTAATAGTTAACAGTATTTTCCTGATAAGGGCAGAAAAGATTGGTACAATAGTCGTCACTCACGCAATCAACCAGTCAGATCCAAAAATGCGTCAAAACTTTCTTGAGCCGATGCAGAGAAATGGGCGTATCTCGCGCGCGTGGACGGAGGCGACAAACGTGGGGTGGGGCTCATGAATGTGGAACATCGACATTCATAGCCACTAGCCACACACACACAAGAGTTCTCTCAGGGAATAAGAGAATCTATTGAATTTCCTTAGGACTACACACATGGTTAGAACAATGCTGACACAATGTGTGCTTCCAGCATGTGCATAAAACATTTGCAGGGTTTATTGTCACTTGTGATGTCAGGTGAAAATGTACAGAGTCCAGTGTTGCTAGTGGGACGGTTGTTTAGACATGAACCCCAACAGTCCCAATAATGGGTGATTTTTGTATCAACATTGGGATCAGATTAGTGCGAAAACCAAGTAAAGCCCCCCCTACATGAGTTCTGCTCTATGTTGATGATTAGCACAATTAAGATATGTATATAGCTCTGGATTAACCACTCACATTCTGGGAAGACATTATCATTATTGACTTTCTTGAAGTAGGTTTTTGTTGTTTAAGGTTCAGATGCTTCATAAGCATTGTGTTGTTAAAGCAAAGAAACACAAAGTAGCCAATTCTAGGGTGTTCTTCCAGAAAAGCAGGCAAGTCTATAAAATTAATATCTACAGAGGACCACCCAAGTAAAAACCAAACGACCAATTGGAACTACAGTCATAGCTACCAGGAAAAAAGATTGTGGAAAAATGTTACTTGAGCTTTATACGAGAACATACTTAAACGCTGGAGATGTCACCATTACCATGTAGGTCACAGAATTAAGGCCCTCTGCTTGAAGAAAGGTTGCTATTTCGACTGGGGTTATTGATGGCATAGCAGAGTCAGGGCAACAAGACAAAGCACAGAATATGCACCTATATACTGAGGAGGCCCGGATGGGTGGAGAAAGGGAAGCAGTGGTGAGATGTGACAATCTGTGGCCGAGAAATACCATTGAAAACTTCTCTTAACTTTTCCATCTCAAATTTGGAGAGAATCATCTGACTTGGATGAGAAACTAGATTAATAGTTGGTAGTGGTCAGTGGTGTACTACTACGTTCAGACCTTCTGCCATTATAGTTTCTAGTAACTCTTGACTCATCATGCCCATTCTGAGCAAAGACACATATGATAATTTCATTGTAACCTCCCTTTTTTCTCTTCCCTCTCCCTCTTTCTCTCTCTCAGAGCTGCAGGAATCCTCTGGAGGGAGGGAGCTTCTTTGCCAAGTTGGGCAGACCATACTGCAAGAACTGTGTCTAGATTACAACTGCTGCTGACAACTACTGACTTCTACCATTATACTAGTCCACTATAGCTACTGTAGTTCTCTAGTATAGTACAGTGGTTTGAGAAATCAGTTTTGTCTATTGTCTGTGAAATTTCTGTGTGTGCTGTCATTACTGTTAATGAAAGATGGTCTGCGTGCTTTGTTTGCCAGCGGTTCACCATTATTGTTATCATGCAAGAGCTCAGTAATGACAACTAGCAAGTGGCATGGCATGGTCATGTTTCATTTCTCCATTTCTCTGTAGATATTGCTCTTACACTTCATCCTTCTATCATCTCTCACTCTCCATTTCCTTCTTATTCACATTCCATAATCTGTCTTTTCTCAATTACTGGTTGTCTGAGGTCTCTCTGTAGCTTATTAACCATCGGCCCGCATGCGCAGCGAAGGTTACAGTATAACTTGGTTCATAAGTGTGTCTTTCCGTCTATCTGTCTGTTACCACGTTTTCCTGCCACCACATGCAAGAAATCGGCCAAAAAGCGATAGTAACGAGTTCAGTGCTACACTAGCTTGATTTTAAAAAAGGCGATTTTCATAAAACTACTGCATTCTAAAGTTATGGCGTGAAAACCACGTGAACAAGCCAATATGCTAATTAGCACAGGCTTACCTCGCCGGTCCGCTTGCTCTATGCATCTTGAAGGCACAAGAGGTCACAACGAAGGGCGTGTATTGAGTCCCGCATCCTATCTATAATTATACTACTGTAGCTAAGTATTACATTTCCTCCTGGATGGGGCGTTCGTCATTCAGAGAACCACTGGAGTACAGAAGCTACCATGCTACACTTCATTGACTGTGTTCTTGTCCCCTATGTGCAGTCCACCAAGCAAACATTGGGCTTTGGATAAGGATCACTTCTCTCTTGCACTTTTTGACGTCTTTGCTTTAGTACTACTGTTCTTGTGTTGTCATCACCAAAATCGCTAAAATAAAAGTATGTTTTATGGTTTACATTGCATTAATCGCTAAAATAAAGGGGCATGAAAATAAAGGGATTTACAGTAGGATGGAAAAGCAATGTGCATTGTAAAAAAAGCTAAAAAGTGAAAGTGAACACAAAACGTGAAAAGTGAAATCTGAACATGAAACTTGATGGTTGCTCTTAGCTTTCATAAGCATATACTAATAATTGACACTTACTACATCTGTAAATCTACATTCAGCACATGTTCTGTCTTCTGCATTCATCATCATAGAAGTCTACAAAAAACATGACTGATAATGGTTTACCCTCTAGAGGTACAGGTAAAATGTTGTACCATTATAGAAAAAGATATACGTTTACCTTTCATTTTTTTAGCGACACCTTTCAGTTGCTGGTTCTTCACTGAGAGCCTGTAAGAGAGTATTAAAATTTTGAGGGTCGACATGAACCCGCCTCTCCATTGCTTTAAAAATTTCCTCAAGCCTCTGGCAAGCGGTAGAGGACTGTTGTGTTGCCTTCTGCTTTTCCTCTTTGGTAAGCAGCCTTTTGCTATAGAGCACTGGTACAATATTCTCTGGGTCTACGGCCCCAACAAAAATCTCATTGCTTCTCCGAAGAGCAAACCCTGCACAAGGGTTTATCCACTCAGTTGAGTTTTCTGCCTGGGAGTTAGCAGGTGACTGCTGCGTCAGTGACTGTGACTGTCTTTTATCCGGAGACATGCAAGTTGAACTTTTCAATTGGGCTGTGATAAGATAAATATTCATAATAATACTTTTAAGGAACTTGAATGAACAATGTCATGCATGCATCCCTACAGTTAAATGTAACATACTATTATATTATTCATCACCTTTAATCCAAAAAGGTTTAGTCTCTCCTTTGTAGCTATGCCTGCATATGACATACTCTTGACATGTTTCAGGCTCCATTTTAATATACTGTGTATGAGGCAATTTTTTTCTACCACAGGTACAATTAAATCCCTCAAAAATGCCAAGTTTTCTATTCATCTTTTCTAGAACAGATTTAACAGCCTCACTTATATCTCTTCGTATTGCAAAAATTTGACTTTCATGTTCCATTTTCAAATCTACATAAACTTCAAAATACTCAGTTTTGTTGATTAGAGCAACTTCAGCACTCATTTCGTTTGGGTGGAGCAAAGCTGCATCATGATACAAGCATTCAGGCCCTTTGTCATCTAAATCCGTAGTAATTATCCAATTGTGTTTTGTTATGAGGCAAGCAATGGTGTTGCCAAAACTACCACTAGGGGAACAGCACAATTCTAACTTTGGGGGAGAACCTGTTCCAAACTGAAGAAGAAGTGGTTGAGTTTCTTTAAACTTTTGAAGGGGTTTCAATTTTTCCACAGATAAACGAGGAAGTAAACACATCATGATGTACTTTATTCTTCCTGATTCCTGGTCTGACCCAAGATCTCCTTCAGCAATAGTATAAAGTTTCTTAAATATTTCAATGGCGTGGCAAGCTTCATAGAGGCCAGGCACAAAGTATTCAGTGAAATTTTTATGTTTTAGAAGATTCTCTGTGATCATTCCTTTGGAAAGGGAATCTCTGTCATCTTTAGTAATGGTCGAGATAGATTTTTCCCCTTCAACAGCCTTGTAAGAAAACTGTATTATTGCATTTACAAAAGAAAATGAGAGCTTCTGGGTCAAAAAATACAAGTCCTGGACCAATGTCTTTAAAATATAACAGAATATTATTCCTATGGAAGTATGCCAGAGCTGCTTCACGACCATTTTTTGCCATAAAAAGTTTGTTTCCAATAAGAACACATTCTTCAAAACTCATCACTTTAACTTTCCTCCCTTCCGTCTCTTTCTTTTCATGAAGATAAATTAGTGCATCATTTTCAAAAAGTACAAAGGAGGTTGGTATATCAACTGGAGTAGATTCAATGTCAGCAATATTATCCCGTATCTCTTGTAGTGTTTCGTCTGGATGAATTAAATCAATATCAAACACATTTTGATCATTCGTTTTTGGAATTAGTGATTTGGGTGAGAGAAATGTCTCTGTAAACTTATTCAAATCATCAATACTGTTGGAAGATGTTCTTCTGCAACCTCATCCTTATGAGTGGCAACAACAAGGATCTTAGAGTTAATCTGACCTGCCATGGTTTGGGCAAGTTGCTTGATTATCTGCTTGTTGCAAGCTAGCAGAGGTTCTTTTGCAAACTTATGACCCTGTTTGTGAAAGGTGGGTGTGGTTTGTTCATTCAGACATTTAGACAGGCTTACAACCAAAACTATAAGATCAGCATTGTGAATCAAGGTGGGAACAAGTTCAAGGCATTCCGGCTGCCCACCAGTATCAATCAAATGGACAATATTTAGCTCACCATAGCATTCCTTTGGAGCCATACGTACCATATCTACCATTCCTCTGAAGGAAAGTGACTTACTTTTCTCTGGATGTGATTTTCCGACTTGAATTTCTTTTTGTCTCTCTTTTCTACACCAGTTTCTTTGCTATGTTTTTTTTTGTTGCTTTTTTGTTTTTTTGTTGTGTTTGTTTTGATTTTTTTTTTTTGTTTTTTTTTGTTGGTGTTGTTGGTTTGTTTTTGGGTGGTTTTTTGTTGTTGTGTTTTTTGTTTTTTGTTTTTTGGTTGTTTTGGTGTTTTTTTTTGTTGTGTTTTTTTTGGTTTTGGTGGGTGTGGTTGGTTGGTGGTTTTGGTGTTTTTTTTTTTGTTTTTTTTGGTTTTTGTGTTGTTTTGGTGTTTTTGTTTTGTGTTGTGGTGGGGTTGTGTGTGGGGGGTTTTTGGGGGGGGGGTGGGGGGGTGGGGGGTGGGGGGGTGTGGGTGGGGTTGTGGGGGGTTTGGTGTTTTTGTGGTGTTGTTGTTGGGGTTTGTGTTTGTGGTGTTTGTTGTGTTGTTTTGTTTGTTGGTTTTTTTTTGTTTTTTGTGTTGTTTTTTTTGTTTTTTGTTTTTGTCTGTACGGGAGCCTTTGTTGACTTACTTGACACTGTACTAACTTAGGTCTACAATCAGTTAACTCTCTATCGATAGAACTTTTTTCAGCTTAAATCTTGTGCTACATTGGTGTCTTCTTCGATATTAGCTTCATTATTATGGTGATGAAAATGTATTACCTTAGATGCCAACTCCAGCAAGTCCTTTGTGTTTTCAAGAAGTTTGAACTCCTTCACATCAATAGTATAGTGCTTAAGACTTCGCCCAGACTGCACTTTAACTCCTCGCCAAGACTTTTCGGCAACTCCTGTACTGCTGTAGCAATCAGGGAGATCTTTGCCAAACAATCTGTGTAAGAGTGTGGTTTTACCAGGCTCCATTAAACCTGTGAGAACCACAACTGTATTATCTGCTTGAATTTCCCTTCCTTTTTCAGAAGCCTTTCAACAATTGATTCAGCTTCTTCAAAACTTTTTACTGCAAAATGGTCTGGAGTGAATAAAACATGCATCATAATAGCATGAATCTCAATACCCAGTGACTTCGCACGTAAAGCGTGCATGGGCAGTATGCTACAACACTTCATGCATGCCCACAAAATGTGTAACTAATTATTAACAACATGAACTTGAGTTCTAGTGGCTACGAACTTCATTAACTTATAGTTTGTACATGTAGCTACACAATACTTACCCCCAATGTCAAAGCCAGTAGTATGATCCAGAAATTCAGCTGGCAGCACCAGTGATGACCTCTGTTGCTTCAGTGATGATAAGAGAGCTTCTTCCTCCTGGTTGTCACCTTTGTAATAATTTCCTTCATCATATGAAATATTTTGGTAAGGATCTACAGCCAGCCTATGATAAGCCACCTGAAACTCAATGCTGTAGCTAT